AGATTTCAGACATGTCCAGTAAACTATTGGGCATTATGGAATTGTTTATTATGTTGACTGTGATGATAGTTACATGAGTGTATGCATATTTCAACACTGGTCAAGTTGTCCCCCTTAAAAATGTGCTGCTTATTGTATCAATCATACCTTAATAATACCTAAAAATTTGTTCATTAATTGAATGGAAAAAACTCTTCCTCTAAGGAGCCTTGTAATTTAGCTGCCCCAAATGACTTCTGAATCAGACTTGGGTATTAATTTTCTTAAATCACATTTAAATTAGAAATAACTTAAAAAAAAAGACCACTAAATTTTATCAGTCTCCTCTAGTGAGGTCAATTGTCCTTAGATAGGGAAGGAGCACAGTGAACACGTTTTTTGGTCTCATTGCAATGTGCTCTTCTTTTTGAAATTGGTGTCTTATCTTTTACATCTGCAATTAGCTGAAGCTGGCAACTTCAAGAATAAGTCCTGCACTCAAACATGTTGGCACTTAACCCTGCACCACCGAGGGCAGCAGCTAAAATCCAGATCTTTCCCTTAGAGCAGACACTTCATTTGGAATTGTCAGAAACACGTGTAGCCTGAGGTCAGGTGCAGTCTACACCTGTTCAAAAAGAGGGCCAATCTCTGAATACTAGGATTTGACCGTCCTAAAAGAAACAAGTCCCATTTTCTGCTTCTCAGAATGAGTCTAATATCCAGCTAAAAGGAATGCCGGATTACAATCTAGCTGGATGACTTCAACCATGCCACCTGAATCTCTTGGGCCTCAGTTATTTCTAGTCTAAAATATTGGTTTATTGGGTTAGATAATTTTTAATAGTGTTTCCTATAATGCACTTCTAGAATTGGTTATTAGAAGCCATTTTGTGGCTCACCCTTAACCTACTGAATGCAGCTGTATTTTTGCTCCAAATGTTAAATATTTAATCAACTCTAGGTGAAACCCAAATGTAATTCATTAAGCAACTTGGTGTTGAGTCAGATGCAACAGACATGAAAAATCCTTTTTCATTAGTGTCCACTGGCTTCATTGGTTCAAGAATTCTGGCTGATGGCATGAATAGCAAAACTGTCCTCTGTTCAAATAAACTGAATGTGTATGAGTAAAAATAAAGTAAAACAAAAGCCAGGAGCCTTTCCAATTGGCTTTTACTAATTGTGATGTATTGATTTTCTATGCTACATTAATGTCTACAAGGCTGTCCTTTGGCTAATCCAAAAGATGAATGAAGTTAATGAAAATTGTTATTTTAAAGTGTGCATAAATGTAAAGGCTGGAGAAAGGCACATGTGCTTATGTGTGTGCGTGTATATGCAGAATGTGGAGAAAAAGACACACGATGCAGTTTTTATGTAGGGGAAGTGGTGGAGACCACCACCAAAGTATCTTTTGTATATGGTCTTATTTTTTTTTTGTCCCTTGTCTACAGATCTTGAACAATTTAACCTCTCAAAAAATAAGAATATTAAACAATAATAACTGTATGTTTTAAGTAATAAGGATTTGGCTTTCCTATATTTCTATTAGTCAGAATTAGAAAAAAAACCCTCAACAGTTTAGATGTGAATTAAGCATATTTCACACCAAGGTTACGAAGCTAAAATCAGCAAGAGGGAGGGAATCAAGTATTGTCAAAGTATGTTCTAGGTACCAGGTGCATCACTGGTGATTTGTATCCATAATCAATTTCTAGTAGTTTGGAGGACAGTGTTGCCCTTATATTGACATCCTAAAATTCAGCAGCCATGGGCTTAGTTAAGTAGGAGGAAGTCAGCATAGAATGTGACTGTCTTGGATGGTGACAGTAGCATTAGTTTCCAGCCTCGAGTCCTCAGAGAAGGGCACATTTCTTTCTGTTTTACTGCCTTACTTCCAGGAGGATAGGCTCTCCTGTTTAATTTCCTAGAGCAGGGGGCAAATTCCAACCCCTGGTTCAAATCTGGCCTGTTGCCTGTTTTTGTATGGATTGTGAGCTAAGAATGTATTTTACATTTTTAAATAGTTGACAAAAAATCAAAAGAATAATATTTCATTACATGTGATAATTATATTAAATTAGAATTTCAATGTATATAAAGTTTTATCGAAACACAGCCACACTCACTCGTTTACATATTTAGGGCAGCTTCCCCCCCGCCCCCCATACGCGGGCCTCTCACTGTTGTGGCCTCTCCCGTTGCGGAGCACAGGCTCCGGACGCGCAGGCTCAGCGGCCATGGCTCACGGGCCCAGCCGCTCCGCGGCATGTGGGATCTTCCCAGACCGGGGCATGAACCCGTGTCCCCTGCATCGGCAGGCGGACTCTCAACCACTGCGCCAGCAGGGAAGCCCTAGGGCAGCTTTTGAGCTACAATGTCAGGAGTTAAGTGGTTGCGATGAGACAGTATAGCCCACAAAGCCTACAGTATTCACTCTCTGGCCCTTTATAGAAAGTGTTTGCAGACCTTTGTCCTAGATCGTAGCAGAGATTTCACTGAAGGTTGGTAACAGGAAAAGAGGAGTCCAACATGCAGTGATTTACAGCTGTGCTCCATCCCTAGGTCTTTCCCTCAGATTGGCTTCCTGCTTTTTTCTGGAACTGTGTCAATGTGACCAAACATCCGGTGAACTGAACTGGGTCCTGAGACTGAAGGAAAGAGATATAATTTCCCCTCTTTCATGGGGTTCTCCCAAGTCCTTTTTTTATTGCCTCCAAAGGATCTCTTTCCAGGATGACTGACAGCTAAAATATCGTTTCACTTTAGGAAAACTCTACTCTCACCTACGGGGGTGTGATCTGGACCTGGGATCCTTCCAAGACAATTACACAGTAAACTCATATCAGTATAGTCCCCAAATTCTGGCATATTCAACCTTGTGACCAAGGTTAGACTAAGTGCAATTTGGCATCACATAGTTTTTCAGTCCTTCTATAAAGAGATCAGTAATTTGGGATATAGCCACACTCAGAGTTGAATTTTTTTTTTTAATAAATTTATTTATTTATTTTTGGCTGTGTTGGGTCTTCCTTGGTGCTCACAGGCTTTCTCTAGTTGCAGTGAGCGGGGACTACTCTTCGTTGTGGTGCGCGGACTTCTCATTGTGGTGGCTTCTCTTGTTGCAAAGTACGGGCTGTAGGCACGCAGGCTTCCGTGGTGGTGGCATGAGGGCTCTAGAGCACGGGCTCAGTAGTTGTGGCTCATGGGCTCTAGAGCACAGGCTCAGTAGTTGTGGCGCGCAGGCTTAGTTGCTCCGCAGCATGTGGGATCTTCCCAGATGAGGGCTCGAACCCGTGTCCCTTGCATTGGCAGGCGGATTCTTAACCGTTGCACCACCAGGGAAGCCCCTCAGGGTTGAATTTAACCGGTATGTTCATCTGAGAAATGGGTATAATATCATTCACTTCACTGAGTTTATCATAATAACACTGTAGCATTAAGTAACTTGTGCAGTGTCACATAGGACACAAATGACAGAGCTGGATGTGAACCTTATTCTTTCAACTCCAAATTTTCTCACTTCCTAATTCTATCTTTTTTTAAAATTTTATTACTTAAAAAATATTTATTTATTTTTGGCTGCGTGGGGTCTCCGTTGCTGCACGAGGGCTTTCTCTAGTCACAGCGAGCAGGGGCTACTATTCGTTGCGGTGCACAGGCCTCTCATCGCAGTGGCTTCTCTTGTTGCGGAGCATGGGCTCTAGGTGCACGGGCTTCAGTAGCTGTGGCATGCAGGCTTCAGTAGTTGTGGCTCGTGGACTCTAGAGCTCAGGCTCAGTAGTTGTGGCACAGAGGCCCAGCTGCTCCGTGGCATGTGGGATCTTCCTGGCCCAGGGCTCGAACCGGTGTCCCCTGCACTGGTAGGCGGATTCTTAACCACTGAGCCACCAGGGAAGCCCCCTAATTCTATCTTAAAAGCTAAAAAAAAAGTTTTTTTTTTTTTTTTTAAGTAAACCTGGGACTTTCTTGATAAGTAAATGTTTGATTTCTATTGGGCTTTTGGAAAATTTGCTGAGTTCATAGATTTCCATATCATGGCACAATAATTGGGGACCTAGGAGGGTGCTTACAAGCTCACACTCTGGAATCATAGAGAACTGGGTTTGAATCACCATTTTACCACTTACCAAATGAGGAATGTTTCTTAAGCATGTTTCTTGAGATCTCTGAGGGCCTCATCTATAAAATGAGAATGATAATGGTACTGACAGGAACATTGTGTTAGTAAATGAGATAAAAATGTACAACATGTAACTTAAAAAGTGCTCTGTAACTATAAGGTATTATTTTCTCTCAGTTGGATAACAATGGAATTCCCACATAGCAATAGCTCACTTTTTCCTCTGTGAAAGGCCCATGTCTCAAATATTATTTCAGATTTAATTTTTTTGAAAGCTCAGATATGCACTATTGAACTCCCCTTGAATTTTGCTGCCTGTTTCCCAAAGCCTTCAAATGCATTTGATGGCTGCATTGGGGAAGGGACACTCGTGGGATGTCATCATGACAACCATTGGTGCTTTTTGACAAGGTACTGAGAGTTGATGATGATCAGGGAAAAGGTGGCTTCAAAACGCTCTGCATAATCCATTAGGCACGGATCATTAGCATGGCTCAGAAGTACAATGGAACATTTGTAGGAGTCTGTATTATCAGCAGCCCACAATGAGCCCATTCTTGACACCACAGACTTTTAACATCTCAGTTCTAAGAACTGCAGTGATGGTTGACACTTTTCATTTCAAAGAACAGACCGAACATGCTGCTCTCTATAAAGACATTGTCAAATGTACTTTTAGAGTTTTAAAATATTTCCATGTGGAACAGTTATGTTAAAAAGCACTGTGTGCATTTATGCGCTGCACGTGAGAATATTAAAAAGTGAGATACATTTTGTTCATTTCATAACGGGTGTATTTTCCCAAAGTTCTGCCCTAATTTCTTTTTTTTTTTTTTAATATTTATTTATTTATTTGGTTGTGCCGGGTCTTAGTTGCAGCCCGTGGGATCTTTAGTTGTGGCATGCGGGATCTAGTTCCCCCAGCAGGGATCGAACCCGGGCCCCCTGCGTTGGGCGTATGGAGTCTTAGCCCCTGGATCACCGGGGAAGTCCCGCTCTGCCTTAATTTCTACATGTATATTCACATACATAAATATCTAATTTATCAATAAGGTCTATTCATACCACACCACACTGGACCAACAACACATATAGAAATTATATAAATGTATCCTTGTCCTATTTTCAACCATTTCTCTCTAATGCTCAGTTTCATTTAATTCTGTCCTGTTGAAAACTTTTCTGTGATAAACTCTAGATGGGATTATCATCCCATCTCAGGACATATGTGAGGGGAAAATGTAAGAGAATTTAACTCACTTTTCTTTCTCAAACTTTTCTATGTAGAATAAAATGAGGTCACAAGTCATGTACATGTTCATACAGTTGATTTGATGGGAAGTGCTGAGGATGAGGTGGAAAACCCATTTACTTTGTTTAATTAACAGTTTTAGTCAGTCAGCCAGATCATTGGTTGCCGTTCTTAGAGTCAGTTACAAAAGCGAACTATTTGTATCTTGTCTGTCAAATTGTCAAGAAGAAAGTCAGTGAATAGTATATGAAGACTTCCTTTATTTGAATCTTTTTCTCTATTTAGTGGAGACAAATCTCTTCCGTGATAGAGTCTGTTTGCATTTTATGAGCAATATTACAATACATTCTTTCAAATCTCAGTGTTTAATTGGTTCCAGTTCTACAAGTCATCACTTAACCCAAACTTTTTAGGTTCTGTCCTGGATAAGTAACATGTCCTCTTCATTTGTATTTGGACCATGAAGTAAAACATTCCTGAATATAGAACACTTTAATTCCACAAGCAATGCTCACGATGCCGGTCTCTTTATTTCCAGATTCACATTATGGTGATACAAAGGGCTGGGACTAGGCATTTCAAATTTAACAGGGCCAAAATTAGATTGCCTCTTTCCCTCCCTGATGCACTCTAATCTACCCCAAATTGCCCTTTTTTGGAAGTGGCATATCCATCCTTCCCTGCATTCTAGTCTCATACTCTAATCAAGCCATCTGACATCTCATATTTTTTCACTCCTTACTTATATCCAGTGACAAATCCTGTCATTTCTAGCTCCAAAATATTTCTCTATCTCACTATCACCACACCAGCTAAAGACACCCTTATTTTATGCCTCCTCTCCTTCAATGGTCTGTCTCCCCAGTGGTACTAGTTTTCCCTTCTGTATGATTTCCCACCTAACTGCTAGGTAGAGCATTTTAATAGGCAATTTCGATCATGTCACCATACTGCTGAAAAGCCTCCAAGGGCTTCTTCATGCCATTAAAAAAATCCCACATCCTAACATGACTCAGAGGACTCCACGTGGTGGCCCCCATCTATTTCTACAGACTCATTTTCTGCCCTTGACAACTTGCTTACCATATTCTACCCACACTGGCCTTTTCCAGTCGCTTTAACTTGCCAAATTCTCCTACTCTTCCCTCAATGCTGGCCCATGCCTACTCAGACTCCAGGTCTCAGAATTGGAGAGGCTTTCCCTACACCCAGCTATACTCCTAGGTAAGGTAGGTTCCCCTTGTTTGCTCTCTCATGACACCCGTTCCATGGTTGTGTATCCCTGAACCTATTATTGGATGCCTTTTTCCTACTTGCTCAGGCTCCAAGAGGAAAACACCACTCTGTTTTGTTCACTGCCATTTCCCCAGTGCTTGATAAGAGTTTGGCAAAATGTAGGACCTCAGTGAATAATGAATGCATGAATTTTCAGACAATTAAGCACAAAATAGATTAATGTTTCATTTTGATTAATTTAAGCAAATCATACCAAATTATACAATCAGAAAAGCTTGCTATTTTTGGCCCTTAATTAACCCTTTATAAAAGTCAGATGTTATCACCATCATCACCATCACCATGAGCTCAGTGTACTTCCTGGATCCTATTGAATGGCTAAGGTGGGCAAAGAGGCAGAGTGGTCAGATAAAAGACAGGATGCTCTGTTAAATTTGAATTTCAGATAAAACACGAGTAATTTTTTAGTGCAATATTTAGGACATACTTATACTAAAAACTTATTTGTTATTTATCTGAAATTCAATTTTAAGCCAGCATTCTGCATTTTTATTTGCTAAATCTGGCAGCCCTACCACAAGGAAAGGGGTCATTTGAAGTTTTTAGAAAGTTTGTTTCAGTGAAGTTTATAGACACACCAAAAGGAGAGGCACAGAAAATAAAGAAACCTTGGAAATCTTTGTGATGGAAGTATTTTTTTCTTCCAGTTTTATTGAGATATAATTGACAGCACCATGTAAGTTTAAGGTGTGTAGCATAATGATTTGACTTACATACATCAGGAAATGATTACCATAATAAATTTAGTGAACATCCATCATCTCATACAGATACAAAATAAAAGAAAAAGAAAAAAACTTCTTCCTTGTGATGAGAACTGTTAGGATTTACTCTCTTGCCAACTTTCGTATATAACATACAGCAGGGTTAATTATATTAATCATGTTGTACATCACATCCCTAGGACTTATTTATCTTATAATTGGAAGTTTGACCTTTTGACCACCTTCATCCACTCCCCCACTCCCTACCCCTTGCCTCTGGTTACCACAAGTCTGATCTCTCTTTCTGTGAATTTGTTTATTTGTTTTTTGAAGTATAATTGACCTACAACATCATGTTAGTTACTGCTGCACACATAGTGTTTTGATATTTCTGTATTATTACAAAACGATCACCACTGTGATGGGAGTATTATCCAAGTTTTAAATTCATTGCTGTTGTATGAGATGGTTAGGACAATTGCTTAAATGAAATGGCAATCCTTTGTTCATTGCCACAGGGGCAGTTGAAGGGATTTGGAAATTTGGTTAGTCAAAACATGTTGACCATAATTTTCATTATTATACAAATCCCATAATTGGAGTCCATTCTAAGTGACAGAATCAGCCATGGTAATGCTTATCTTGTCATTGAGCTTACTGGAACCAAAACTCATTTCAGATAACTAAAAATGCATGACTATACATATGATTGTGCCATTTAAAAAACTTTGGTATTCAAGTTCTTTTTTTAAACCTGTGAACTTGTCACTGAAGGATAAATTAATAATATTCCATTAAAAAATTAAATGATAAAAATAACATATCCTCTTATCTGTCTTTGTCAAGTCAAACTTAACACTGATTTGTAAAGATTATGTGTTGATTTTAAGCATTTTGCCAAAAAATATATTTGTGTATTCCCCTAAGACCCTACAGTGTTTATTTAGAATATAATGTCTTGGGGGGGGGTGGGGGAGGGATGGACTGGGAGTTTGGGGTTAGTAGATGCAAACTATTACATATAGAATGGATGGACAACAAGGTCCTGGCATAAACCATAATGGAAAAGAATATAAAAAAGAATGTATATATATGTATAACTGAGTCACTTTGCTGTACAGCAGAAATTAACACAACATTGTAAATCAACCGTACTTCAATAAAAAATGTAATGTCTTGATATAATTTGCTACTTATGGCCATACACATGATACAGTCATTCAAAAGTTTAGTTTATTAGAATATTTAACATTTACCTTAAAGATTTAGTGTACTGTGATACTAAAGAAGATACTGTGTTGTCACTTTAAAGAAAGAGGGGGTCTAAGATCAGGAACAAGACAAGGTTGCCCACCCTCACCACTATTATTCAACATAGTTTTGGAAGTCCTAGCCACAGCAATCAGAGAAGAAAAAGAAATAAAAGGAATCCAAATTGGAAAAGAAGAAGTAAAACTGTCACTCTTAGCAGATGACATGATACTATACATAGAGAAGCCTAAAGATGCTACCAGAAAACTACTAGAGCTAATCAATGAATTTGGTAGAGTAGAAGGATACAAAATTAATGTACAGAAATCTCTTGCATTCCTATACACTAATGATGAAAAATCTGAAAGAGAAATTAAGGAAACACTCCCATGTTGTCCCATTGCAACAAAAAGAATAAAATACCTAAGAATAAACCTACCTAAGGAGACAAAAAACCTGTATGCAGAAAACTGTAATACACTGATGAAAGAAATTAAAGATTATACAGATAGATGGAGAGATATACCGTGTTCTTGGCTTGGAAGAATCAACATTGTGAAAATGACTATACTACCCAAAGTAATCTACAGATTCAGTGCAATCCCTATCAAACTACCAATGGCATTTTTCACAGAACTAGAAGAAAAATTTTCACAATTTGTATGGAAACACAAAAGCCCCCAAATTGCCAAAGCAATCTTGAGAAAGAAAAATGGAGCTGCAGGAATCAGGTGCCCTGACTTCAGACTATACTACAAAGCTACAGTAATCAAGAAAGTATGGTAGGGGCACAAAAACAGAAATATAGATCAGTGGAACAGGATAGAAAGCCCAGAGATAAACCCATGCACATATGGTCACCTTATCTTTGATAAAGGAGGCAAGAGTATACAATGGAGAAAAGAGAGCCTCTTCAATAAGTGGTGCTAGGAAAACTGGACAGCTACATATAAAAGAATGAAATTAGAACACTTCCTAACACCATACATGAAAATAAACTCAAAATAGATTAAAGACCTAAATGTAAGGCCAGACACTATAAAACTCTTAGAGGAAAACATAGGCAGAACACACTATGACATAAATCACCGCAAGATCCTTTTTGACCCACCTCGTAGAGAAATGGAAATAAAAATAAACAGATGGGACCTAATGAAACTTAAAAGCTTTTGCACAGCAAAGGAACCATAAACAAGACGAAAAGACAACCCTCAGAATGGGAGGAAATATTTGCAAATAAAGCAACTGACAGAGGATTAATCTCTAAAATATACAAGCAGCTCATGCAGCTCAATATCAAAAAACCCAATCCAAAAATGGGCAGAAGACCTAAATAGATATTTCTCCAAAGAAAATATGCAGATTGCCAACAAACACATGAAAGGATGCTCAACATCACTAATCATTAGAGAAATGCAAATCAAAACTACAATGAGGTATCACCTCACACTGGTCAGAATGGCCATCATCAAAAAATCTACAAACAATAAATGCTGGAGAGGGTGTGGAGAAAAGGGAACCCTCTTGCACTGTTGGTGGGAATGTAAATTGATACAGCCACTGTGGAGAACT